CAACTCATAATATTTTGTTCAAACTCACAAAAAAATCCAAACCTGCATAACAATTCTAAAACACCAAACCTGCATAACTCAGTTCAAACATAACAAAACTTGTATCTCAGTTCAAACACCAACAAAAACTTGCAAACTGTCAAAATCACCATTCAAAACTGCCATCAACATCCCAGAATGTAAGAACAGTTCTTCAAATCACAAAGTCCCAACATTCCAACAAAATCAAACCTTTAATTGTAACTCATTTCCAACAAGTTCAAACCAAAGAAACAGAAAAGTATCAAAACTGTCCAACAATCTTCAATAGTTCAAAAAACAGTAAACCATCAAAAACATTCAAATCATTAAACTATCAAACAGTCTAAACAAAGCTGTCAAAAATCAGTATCCAAACCAACAAAGGCACAATAACATCATCACAGTCAGAAGCATCATCATCATCATCCAAGAGTATAGAAAAGGTTACCAGAAAGAGCTCACGCATCCATCATCATTTCTTCCCTCCCCATTTCCGGCCGCCAAGGAGCACCGCCACTTCCCTCTCACTATCCTCGTCCATAAAAATCCAAAACAGGTATGTTTTCGCCATAACATCATTTTTCTGCATCTCAATGAACATTAAGCTTGATTAACATAAAAGAAATATGAACAACAACATACAAAACCAATGAATTGTTAAGATAAAAGCAAAACTTTACCTTTCAAGAACAGAATCATTAGCATTTGTTTAGGAAGTGAGAGAGGAGAGGCGCTCCGACAACTTGAGGGTAGAGGGAGGATCTGATCAAAACAAATTGCAAACCCCTTAGTCGATTTCATTGCAAACTTAGGGATTTCCAAAAAAAGCGAAAACCAGGTTGAATCAAAGAGGGACAGGGACGAATAGGGACGATTAAGTGAGAAAGATGAACGAGAGAAAAGAAGTGAGGGAGAACGAAAGAGACAACGGCGCCGCTCTGTACGAGCCCACAAACCCTAATTCACGTTTCCCCTAATCCAAAAACAATAAACTGAATTAGGAAGCATTGGGCCTGTCTTGGCATAACCCTCAAAGCCCACGCGTTTTTGGCTCATACCCCCCTCATCTGGCCTTGTTTCTTTCAGCAATGGCAATATGTCTTTGGGCCCAGCACCTTTGGATTTCCCTAAGCCCATTTATACCTGTTTTTTTTAATTTACTTCTTTTTGTTAACAATTTCATAAAACTCAATACCTTTTTTATTAAATTAAATTAATCTTGAAGTTAATTTTTTTATCATTTTTCTTTTTCTTCCTTTAATTTATCTTTATTAATTTGTTACACTTAATAAAAACACCAAAAACATTTAAATTAGTTTTTTTTCTTTCTTTATTTACATAATTAATAAAAATACATAAAAGAATAATAATAAAATTTTTAATCTTTCTTTTTAGAATAGGTTTTTTATTTTCCTTTTTAAGTAAATACATTGCATTTCATACTTTATTGATTTCTTTATTTCATAATTTGTCATAGCTTTATATTAAATCGCACAGCAATTCGATTTGGTTGTATTATTTGATATTTGTACATTGCCATTGTTATTTGATTCATCCCCATTTGTAACAATTGTACCCCCATTCCCGAACATTCTGTAATAGTTTAGAATTTCAATTCCCGCAATTTATTGCTTTCTATATAGTGTATAGTAACTAGGCGTGTATGGCAAGGTTCAAAGATTAATCGCTAGATGACCTAATCCAAGAATAAATAACTTGAAATCAACACACTTCTCACACGCGCACCTCTAGGGTAACCTTGCTTGTTGCCTCGGAAATACAATCATGTCCCTCGAATATGAGACATTCTAGCAATGACCCTTTGATAAACAAAGATCGTAGACCCTTGATGACCCTCGATGTTGCCTTCGATAAAACGATTTCGTCCCTTACAAAATTGCTAGAGCGTCTCACAAGTTGCCTTCAATGATTGTAAAATTGACCCGTGCCTGTCCCTTTACATCCAAGGATGGGGCTTCTTACCAAATTAATGGTAAGATAGCACCATTAAAAGGAAGAAAAAAGAACAATTTAAGACCTTTCGAGTAGATAGATTCGCTCTTAGTTACTCGCTTGCTCACGATAAAAAACTTTCACACCTACACTTCCATTTCAAAACATTTTCAAAGAGGTAAGACGTTTTGTATACGTTCTTATAGAGACGAGAACCATTACAAAACCTCTTTTTCAAAACACTTTTCAAAACACGATTCACAAACACATCTTTGAACCATTTTTTGAAACAAAACTTTGTATACGTTCTTATAGAGGCGAGAACCATTACAAAGAAATTTTCCAAAATACTTTCAAAAACCACACCACAAGCACACAATCAAACAAAAGCAAGTGATCTAAAACGAGTAACTAAGAGCCCATGGAAAACCATGGATGAAAAGGGTGTTAGCACCTTCCCTTTTCATAATCTACCCCCCGAACCCGAGAAAATTCTCGAAAGGTCTTTCCTGTGTTTTTTTACCTTTCCTTTTGGATAAAAAGAAAATTCGGTGGCGACTCTTGCTAAACCGCACAAGTGCGAACGAAACGCAAAACCTCTAGTCAGTTCTCCCACCGCATCACACGGTGCTCAGGTGAAGATGTCTCCATTAGGAACCTAGGAGATTAATACTAGAAAGGTATCTCATTGGTGGAAAAGGGTGTCTAATATAAGGTTGTCTTCTGGTCAGCAACCATATTGGTTCATTGCTTCTTATAAGAAGGTGGTGGGGGATGATATGAATACCAAGTTCTGGCATGATGTCTGGGTTGGGTCATCCCCATAATGTCTATTTTTTAAGAGGATCTTTCTTATCTCAAAGCAAAAGTCTTTGGTAGTGGGTTTGGTGGGTAATTGGGTAGGTGGTGTTTGGGTTTAGAATTTTTGTTGGAGACGTCAGTTCCTTGTTTGGAAGTCAAAGTTGTTGGACGAGTTTGAGTTTAATTATAAGGATGGTCCAATAGGGTGGAACAGATGCTTAGGAGTGGGTCCTGGATCCTTTGAGGGGTTTCTCAGTGAGTTCAGCTTATGTTAAATTCTCTAGTTTGATGGGGAGGGGGAGGAAGTTCACTCGTCTCAGGTGAGTTGTGGGTGGTTTGGGGTCTTGAAGTCTCAGGGGCCTTCAAAAGTGACGGTCTTCTCTTGGAAGCTATTGCAGGATAGATTTTCAAACAAAAAAAACTTGTTTAGGCTCCATATTTTATTTGTTATCTCTAGGGTGGGCTATAAAGTCTGCTCTAGTTAGTTGGAGTATGTGAATCACTTGTTCACTACTATGAAAACCCCATTTAAAATGGTTAGAAAAGGGATACCATCACGCGTGCCTTACCGTTGTGAAGTAGCGTGTGATTGTAAGTTCGCAGTTTCCATCATGATCAGGAGATCGTGATAGTAAGGCATGACACACGACGTGTATCACAATGGTTATGATAACCAACTGTTGTGATATATACACTTAAGTATTGGGTTCAAAATCCATCAGTAGCAAATTATTTAGAATGTCTTGTGACTTAGCACAATAATATACAAAAGCATTTACTAACAAAACAACATCATACAACAAAACCATATATTATAAAATATTTTCAGAACGCGCCTTTTATTTAAACTAATCATGGAACAAGAATCAATTCTGAGGTTCATCTAGTTTGTGAAGCAATGAAAAAGAAAAATAAGGTGGAAGAAATTTACACGACAACTTCATAATTCTTATATTTCTTCTCATTGTATCTCAAACTAGATGAAGTTTGTTGCTGCTATTGTTTCTTCATTTACTTTTCTTGTGACTTAGCAATGTTTTATTCTTGTTTTGAGTCCTACAAACACCATGAAAGTTATCAACATGTGAAACCACAGACTTATTTGTCAAGAATAAATACATGCAACAAAATAAACAAACATACATTTTAGAAACAAAACACTAACAACTTACAACATCACAAGATATAATAAAAAATTTCAAGAACGCGTCTTTTATTGAAAATAATTGTGGAACTATAACAAAGTATAAAATTCATCTTGTTTGTGAAGCTATGAAGAAAAAGTACAAGGTGGATGAAGTTTTAGACATAGCTTCATATTTCTTGTACTTTTTTCATAGCTACACAAATAATATGTATCATAGCCAAAGTAGGCTCTTTGTTAAGGTCGTGAAGACGAATATGAAAAAATGAGAACATTCAACAAAAATAACATGCAACAAGCAAGATAATCAGGAAGTATCTAACAAGAAGATGGAAGAAGGAAGAATAAGGGAGAAGAAGAATACCTTAATGTATGAAGAAAAATATTCACGGTTAATGAAAAAGAAGAAGAGAAAAATGGGTGCTAGGGTTTACCTGTGAAGGATACGGTGCTACTGTCAAGAAGTGAGAGTAAATTTGATTATATATGGGTAAACTATCACAACAGTTAACACTATCAACCGTATTGATAAGTATTTATTTATATAAATGTGTCACGGCGATTAAACTTTAGAAACATAGAAAAAGTGCGCCTTAATGTTAAAGGAATAAAATATTTGAGGGCGTTGAGGTTCGAGCCCATGAAAGTTTCATTTTATCACCACGGTTAGACCATGCACCGTTATTATATGCTAACAATTTTTAATTAAAAAAAATGGTAGCGCCTCAGTTTAGATATGTCACCACGGTGTATTGAAGAACCATGGTGACTTTGGCGTTGTTGTAGACGCGTTTTATAGTAGTGGTTTATCTATTGTGAGATGGTATTTTCTCTCTGGTATAATGTGTTTAGGTGGGTTGGTATGCATGTCCCCCTTCCTTTTTCGATCTTAGAGGTGTTTAAGGTTGTTCTAGGTTTTAAGTGGAGTAAGAAGTCTCAGTTATGGCCGATTACGATCTGACATGTTATTGTCTGGGTAATATAGAAATTGTGATATAAAGTTATCTTTTCGCATGAAAGAAAGTCGGTTAATTAGTGGATGAATCTGATTATCTATTTGGCTTGGAAGTGGATTCGGTCCATGCTTCAGGTTCTTTCTTTTCTCTCGCACACTAAAAGTGTGACTGACTCTAGTGCCTGCATTTTTAAGGGTGGAATGGGTGACCAATTTTCCTTCTCTGTTTCTTGTCGGTGCTTGTGTCGGTCTCCTTTCAGTCGACACTCTCAGAGAGTGTTGTGTCTGATGACTCAGTTTTTCTTGCTGGTTTTGGTGGTGGTGGTAGTTTTTTCCTTTGTCTCATGGAGAAGAGTTATTCCAGTTTCTCATGTGGTGGGTTTTGTGTTCATTTTGGTGTGCGAGTTTGTTTGGTTGGATGGTGTCTCTGCTTTGGTCTATTTTGTCGTTGGCTTTGCTGGTTTTATTTGTTATTTTTTGTTCTCCTCTAACACATCTTGTGCTTGTGCTTGTGTTTGTTTTTTAACATTTGTTTTTCTTATTTTTTTAATTTATATTGATATTAAAAAAATATTTTAGAGAGTTTAATATAAATCGATGAATCCTAATTTTTAATAAATTTAAATAAAATAGTTTTTTCTTTTTTTATTATAGATTTATACATTTATAAATGTTCAATTTTAAAATATGTTTTAGAGATTTATGTAACCTAACTATTTTTTTTCTCTCTTATATTTGTTTCGTTTGAAGGAGACAAAATAATAAAAATAAAATAAAAATTCTGAAAAAGAGGAGGTTAATCCATCGAACTCAGAATTATTAATTAAGTTGAAAGAGATCCACTCCATCTTATCCAAGTGTTCTTAGATAAAAAAAATAAAAAATTATTATATATTTTTAGAAAAACTACAATTTCGTTTTATCTTTCTCTTTTTATTAAATGCATTGTTCAATTACTTTTGAAAAATGAAAAAAAAAACTCCTATTACAAAATATAAGAATGGGTTAATTTGTAAGTTTTTCACCCTACTACCATATTTTTTTTAAAATTATTTCCTAAAATACAATATTTTTCCCACTTATTACTAAACTATTATATCTTCAAATAAGTTTTTTTTGTTAGTGAAGATCTGTCAAATGCTTTGACGTCGTATGTTTTTTTTTATAAATTATTTGTTTATTATCTGAGGATATTATTTACGAAATTTTCTACAAAATTACATATTTACAGAATTACTTACAAATTTCTTAAATATAGTATCTTATAAATTTGATTATATTGAATTTCTTGCAGGAAATTCCGTAACAAAGAGTTCGTGTAACAAATTTTACAGAAAATTTTAAAGAATTAAATTTTTTTAAGAAAATCTACAGAAAAATAAAATATAATAAAAATATATAAAATGGGAGGGTCTGCTCAATCAATTGACAGATGTATTTTAAATTTTTTTTATTATTATGGAAAAAGGATGATAGTTTAATATTTAAATTGAAAAAAAAATAGTATATTTGTAAAAAATTGTTTGTGTAGTATTAAAAGATGGATTTAATCATCATTAATTTTTTAACGTTGTTTCATTTTTTTAAATGACTTTTATAATATTATACTAGTATTTTTTTTTTGTATTTTTTAAATGATTTTTATGATATTATATATTTTAATTGAAAAAAATTATAAGTTTTAAAAAAAACTTTAAATAAAAATTTAGTTTAAACAAGTATTCTTAAAATATTATTTTAGATATTTTATCTTTTTATTATAATTTTTTATATAACAGAATTTTAAAAAAAAATATTTAAATTTGAAGTTATTTAAAATAATTTTTTATAAAAAAATTTTAAAATTATTATTTTAGTTATGTTTATTTTTTTAATAATATATATTTATGTTATAGAATGTTAAAATTAATCTTTTAATTTATAAAAATAAATTTTTAAAAACTTAATATTTAAAAAAATTATATAAATCATTTTTAAAAATATATAAAAAATGATTTCTTAAAGTTAAAATAAATGGGTCCATTCTATTTGTTCAAATGAATATTTTATTCTAGAAAAAGAGAAAGGACACTAACCCTTACTATCTATGGAAAGGGAGAGGACAGTTGCTAGTCATGTTAGTGGAGTCGTGCATTAATATTCTGTGCTACTTGAGTCAGCAGCATAATTATAAAACTCACCTTAAAAATTGACCGTTTGACAAATCTTACAGTACAAGGTTTTGTTGATTACATTTACAAAATTGTTATGCATTTTGAAGAAAATATGTACATGGTTGGAGTTTTTCCGTCTTCAAATTATTATGCATATTTGAGAAATATTTTCACAGGTTAACAGTAGAAGAAAATGATGTTTATTTTGTGGAATCTAAGACACCGGGATTATTTGGAATCTAAGACTACAATGCACATAAATATCATCACTAATATTCAAAATAAAGCTAATATAGTTTTGATTATATGAACATAAACTCTAGCTGGAATATTAGTTAGTTAAATTTAAATGAATTTATAAATTTAGTCTATTTTAAATTTCAATAATTTAGAAAGTTAATGTTAAGAAGAGTGTGTTACATATAATTCTATAAACAATTAATTATCTGCAACATGTGGTAGTTCTATTTCTATATATCTCTTTCGAATAGTTGTACTGAAAAGAACCTTATACTCTAGCGAATATAATAATTACTTGATGTGAGTAGGTTTCATATCGAAGATATGATAAAAATATGGATATCTTTGTCGTAAGTATTTTGTATTCATTCTCTGCTTACTTTGGTTTTGTTTTCAGTCATTGCTAAAATACTTCTAGTGGGTAGGGATTCTCTTCTGTGGAAAATTACCATGAGAGAGTCCCAATATCTGAGTGATAGCCTCTTCCCGGCTCTACTATGTGAGTCTTTTTCCATTTATTTGTGGTTTCTTTTATGTTTACATGCTTCTAAATCTTGCTTTCTTTTGTTAAAAATCAAGTTCTTTTGTTAAGCTTAGCTCTCTGGTATTTTATGGTTACAGACTATATTAATCGGAATGATAACAATATGTCTGAAATATTCTGAGGAAAATTGTTGCTGCAAGGAGAAAAGGTTTATGCTTGATGCTGATGAATTACATCACCGGGAACCACTGCGAGTTACAGCTAGTTCTAACTGTAATGGGTTCTTCGGGTCTATTTGATATACTCTGTGTTCAGCAGTTGGTCAGAGATCACAATGTTGCTAACAAGCATGTTAAAGATGAAGTCGTGAGATTGCATCCAGATGATCCAGATATTGTCATGTATTATAAAGACGCATGGCGGACGCGTTTCACTTTAATTCCATCCTTCGAACAGAACTTGTGCCTTCTGATTTTACCCGACCTTTGCTATCCGCAGAACCCGAAAAACTTGGGTTTTCTGTCTAAGTTTGGAAAAGAGAGCTCAAACTGTAACGTCGTACATCGTTTAATATTCATCCAATTATATTTTGTTTTGATAATTTATTTTCACTTTTATAATAAATGTCATTGATAATGATGTGGTTGTTAGATATATAATGTTGTGTCGAAATGTACGTGTGGTGTATGTCGAGTAGCTTTTGTATAGGTTATAAGCTGTATTCGACGGAGTCGAATACAGTAGATATTACAGTCTGTCGAAATTATGTTTTGGGCTTTAGAATTTTTGTCTAAATGAGTTTGAGCGTTGTTTGCCTATATAAAAGACGGCTGAGTTTGTAATTAATAAGCGAGAAAGCAATCAAAATAACAAACTCTACATTCTCTCTCTTCTCTCTTCTTCTTCTTCTCTTTCATAAATCATCTTTCTTAAAAACTCTTTGTTCCAACAGTGATCGACTAGGAAGTAAATAACATTGATTGAGCTAAAACTACTGAGATCAACACTAATACAAATAAAGAAGATTCTCTCTTTTTTATTTGTTGCAATATAGTAAGTAGGACTAGAGTTTACATGTAAAAAAGTACTTTGCAGAACCAAACTTGACATTAATCTACATTCATTTTTCAATTCTGGTGAAATTTACTAACCAATTTGTTAACAACCTCATATACTGTGTGCCTTACATATACCTGTGTTAGTGCTAAAGGCAACAAGATAGCAACTTCCTCCAACCTGAATGGCTGTTATTTTCCTGCAAGCATAAACAATATGACATAGATAAATTCTTCCGTGTACGAAAAACCATGCAATGTCTTGAAATTAAGAAATTCGATGTAGTTGAACTTACCGACTTGGTTTTGCTAGTAGTTTGATCTTTAACAGACCACTTAGCCAATCTTTCTTTAGGATTTTTCACCAACCCTTTTTGACTTGAATCTTCAGAACCACTACCTCCTTTAAAAAATGTTGCATTATTCACCTTATCCTTGTGCGAAAGATTTTTTAGCCAATAATTAACTACACTGTTCGTTTCGTCTTCACCTTGCGTTGAATTGCTCGTTACAACACTTCGGTTAATATAATCATTATTAACTTCTTTTCGTACCTGACCCCTACGATCATGATTTGTCGAAAAAGACTTATTCAAATCTATTGAAAAATACGAGTCACTAAATTGGTTACTTGATAATGGTGGACTTGTATCATCAGAAAGAGGAGTCATTTTATCGCGAAGCGGAGTTATCCCTTCCAAAATTTCAAAAGAAACGGAACGAGTACTTGTAATTAGTTCTGTTTCTTGTAGTCCAAGTTCCATCATAGTTTTTTTTCCATTGCTTGTGCTTTGTTTTTTCAATGGACTAAACAACTTCTTATTCCATCCAGAAACTGCACTATCAGTTCTAACTCCGGCACCGATATTCTTGATTGCACAAGCTATATGTATATCAAATTCACACATGTTGCACCTATAGAGCCACCCTTTATAACTAGGTTTATCGCACAGATCACAAAAGAAATCATAAGGCGGAGAAAACTCAAGCTTTATTTTGTGTGGATGTTGCGTGATTGAAAGTGAGAGAGGAAGTGTGATACATATAGAATGAAAGAAGATGTTGCATTCGGCACAGTGATAGCAGAAACCAGTGGCGTGTTGCTTACATGCCATGCAGTTAAAGGTGGATTTTGTAGCAGGCGATGAAGATGAAGGTATGACGAGGAGGAAGAGATCGTGATTTGGATGTGAAGGGTGGTTTGTGATTAAGGGTGTTTTGTAACAAAGGTTGTGAAGATAGAAAGGACATGTTTTGCAGATGTAGTAATGTTGTTCATGTGTGATTGTTTGGTTGCAACCAAAGCAGGTTGTGTTTTTTGTAGAGGGTGTTGTGGTGTGTTGCAAAAGATGTGGATGGCTAAAGTGGGAAACTAGTGAGTTTTTTTGTGTTGAATCCATTTCTGATTTTTGTGAAAGTGCTTCTAATAATAGAGCTGGTTCTCCTTTTCTACTGTTGCAAACATTCTAAAGTGGGATTTAAAAAAAAAAAACTGTGTTGATTTACATAAACCTATTAGTATTATATTATTATTTGTTTGTTGTTTGTGATTGATGCTTTTCGGAGCAATCTAAAAGAGTAATGTATGTTGGGGACATGTGGATGGTTATTGGAAAGTCCGGAATTATGATGTTAAAATTTGTCATTTGTTAAAGAGGTTAAAAGAAATAAGATTCCTCACACTTTAGCCGGTGGAGTTGGATGCTATTTTCATTAATATTATTCTAATAAAATTTACACAACATTTATTAATTAATCTCCTTTCATTAGTGTAATAGTTCAGACTTTAAATTTATGTTGGCCTTGTTTGTTCAGAGTCACGAAAGGTAAGTCAACTAGTAATACCTAGCATAAGGATAAATCAAACTACAATCCGCGACAGTGTAAAATTTGTGAGAGCACTGCAACATGTAAAATTTGTGAGACACATACTATTTATCCATCTAAAACTTTAAAGTGATAGGTGAGTGGGTTCTCCCACTTATATATATTTAAGTCTAAAATTTTCATACATCGATTGAACAATCCTATCAAAATTATACTATTTGTTAGAATGTTGTATAAGAGGTAGTTTGTTTTGACAGGTCGAAGTACTAATGTATATCAAGATCAAGATTTGGTTTTGATGGAGCTCGCTCACGTGTTCCATGGCTAGATGCCCCCAATATTTTCAGATGGGTAGCCAAGATCTGTTACTAGCACTGTAATCTCCTATATGGAATGAGATTTGGAAAGAAGATTTTGATTTATTTGAAATGATTGAGATTTATTGAATTGCTCATGAAAATAGTAAAACTGTGTAAATGTTTATCCAGAATTGTTCTTTAAACCGTAAGTGTTGAATAATAAAAAAATAACAAACACAAAATTTTATTTTTTTGATTTTTTGGTTACCAATTTTTTCAATTAAACAAATTTTATTTTTTTTATTCAATCTTTTTTCTAAAAGTTATTTTGAAATTTTCTTTTTAAAAGAAAAAATTATTTTTAATATCTTTATTATTAAATTATTTTAATAACTTGATTATAAAATTATTATTTTTAAAAATTGATTATTAAAATACTAAAATATCAAATGAGGATAAAGTATTTTAAATTATTTTTTTTACACATCAATCATTAATATCAATATAAACAAAGAAAGAGAAAATGAAAAATGAAAAATAATACATTAATAAACTTAAATTTAATTAAGTGTGAAGTAAGAGAAAATATTAATTAAAGAATGGAATAAATTAATAAAAACTCCTAACATAAAAAGTAAATTGTTAATTATGGCTTTTTATTTATTTAGTTTCTTTAAAATGAAGAGAATTATATGATGATGTTGTAAATGAATTTTTCGTTTTTCTTTTAAAATTGAAGGTTCAATTAATTTTTTAATAGTAATAATCAATAATCAATAATATATTAATTTAATTTTAAATGCCTAATAATAACTAGGAACCAAAATAATGGAATTAATTTAGTTTAAATTTGTGTTTAATTGTAAAAATGTTGTTAGTAAAATTTGAAATTTATTTCTTAAATTGGAAAATATATCGAATATTTAATTAAAAAGAGTATTATCCAATAAAAAATATTGTAAATTTTCAATTATGGTTAATTTAGTTTACAATATCATTATTATTAATTTGATAAAATAAAATCTGTAATATGTAGATGTATAGATTAGTATGATGTAGGAAGTTTTGTAATTTGATTCATGATGCAATTTGTTTGTATAATTGAATCAGACAATGTTTCAGATTCGATTTGATATGGTATATCAAATTGTTGTAATGGAAACACTTAGATTTTTGTTGTTTTGGATTCTATGAAATGAGATTTGGAAAGAGGATTTTGATTTATTTGGGATGATTGAGATTTGATGATTTGCTCATGAAAATGGTGAAACTGTGGGAATGTTTGTGCACAATTGTTCTTTAAACTGCCAGTGTTGAATACTAAAAAAAATAGCAAACACAAAATTACTTTATTTTTATCGTTTTTGTTTTGTTACCAATTTTTTCAATTAAACAAATTTCATTTTTTTAGTATTCAATCTTTTTTTTTAAAGTTATTTTGAAAATTTCTTTTTTAAATAAATATCTTATATTGTATTTTGAGGAAATTATTTTTAATATATTTATTATTAAATTATTTTAATAACTTGATTATAAAATTTTTATTTTTAAAAATTGATTATTAAAATACTAAAATATCAAATAAGGATAAAGTATTCTATTTTTTTTATACATCAATCATTAATCTACAATATAAGAAAGTTATATGTTCTGGAAAGCTCTACTTTGTCATTTTGTGGAAGAAAAAAAATTAATTTTTGTTTTTTAGAGGGTCAATTCTGTCTTCATACAATTGATCCAAAATATTAAATGTCTACCTTAAAACAATTATGTGGTTGGCTTAATTATGAGGAAGTGTTACACGTTCTCATTAAGACTTTTGATACAATTGATAACAAACTATTCACTTTCTCTCTGTTCTGCTTTGGTAATTGTTGTACCCCTGTTGGCTGAAGATTTTGATGATATTATTAGAAGCAAATTGGACGTTTCGATTGGAATAAAGCAAGATGTCATGTTTCGAAATGGTAGAATCAGTGCTTCGAATGGGCATATCAAAACTTGGAGCTTCGAGTGACAGTTATGAGAATATATTCAAAGAAGTCTCGAAATGCTAACAATGTTGTGTCCAAGAAATGTGTTCGAAGCGAAGGAGTGCCAAAGCATTTGAAATTCAAATGCAAGCGGGATGTTCGAAATTTGAACTATATGCGCTGGAGCATTCGAAGACGCGTGGAAGCAAGAGAGAGGTATTGCTCTGCATGTTCTGAACGTGGCAGAATCTTATAGCAAGACCGTTATGGTCGAAGTAGTATAAATAGAAGTCTTAGCATTAGGATTTCGTGTGTCATATCTATTGTACAAAAAAACTCAGTAAACATTCAAAATACCACATGGCTAGGGAAACGAATGCACGAGCAATGTACGTATGATAACACCACATGTTTATGATTTAATGAAAACTCTTTATCATTTCCAGCACTTTCCTTTATCTTCATGTCAATACCATTCACAAGCTTTTGCATTTAAAATGTTTTCATTCGAAGTCTTTTTACTGATGCCTTGCATTTAAATGCTTTCTTTCCATTGCAAATACTTTACATTTCAGAAACTATCGTACATTTCATGCCTTTATCGTCAAGCTTTTATTATTCGAACACCTCTTTTACTTAAAGTCATTTTACAGTTTTCTTGCATTTAAACGCTTTCTTCATATTTCGAATCTTTTACATTCCAGAGTGTGATACGGTGGGAGAACTGACTAGGGTTTTGCATTTGTTTTCGCAAATGTTTCGGTTGAGCAAGAGTCGCCACCGACTTTTTATTTTATCCTAAGGAAAGGTTTAAAAAGCACAGCAAAAAACCTTTGAGATTTTTCTTGGGTTCGGGGAGTAGATTATAGAAAGGGAAGGTATTAGCACCCTTTCTATCCATGGTTATCCATGGGCTCTTAGGTACTTGCTTAGATCAACTTGCCTTGGTTTTCAATTTGTTTGAAAAGGGGTTTGGTGTGTGGTTTTGAAAATGTTTTGAAAAGATGCCTTGTATAGGCTACCCTTGTAACAATTCTTTACTCGAATGTTTTACAAGAGGTGTTTGTCTTTTGAAAAGATGTTTCAAGGTTTTTGAAAGTTTGTTTTGAAAGTGTTTGTGAAGTGTGGTTTGAAATTAGGCAAGTGTTTTCTTGGCAAATTGACAAGTACTTAAGAGTTATCTACCCTAAGGTTTTCTCAAAAGATTTTTGTTATGTTTTAAACCTTTTGACAATTTTGTTCCACCATTGTATTTGGTGGACAATCTTGTATTAGGAGGTGAAAGGGACGGGCGCGGGTCATCGTTTAGACCATAATTGCAATAGTGTTAAATGTCTTTGGGCAATTTTTTCTTTTAAAGGGACTTGATCATTCATTTAGGCAACAATTTGAGGGACTATGATCATTTGATTGTTTGTTTTACCCAAAGAAATTCAACATGCAATATGGCCTAATTATTTGAAGGCAACAAAGTGGAATACCCTAGGGGTGCAAGTGTGGAATGTGTTGTCCATTTTTCATGCTTTCTTGTCTTGTATTAGGTCAAACTACTTTTTGTTCGTTTTATTCGCATGCAAACCCTAACTCTAGCATAGTATATTTAGAAAGCGATAAAGTGCGAAATTTAAATTCCTACACTATTACAACACAATAATATGGGGAGGGGGGTACAATGTTTCAAATGGGGTATATTTAGACAAGAATTTAAACCTAACTATTACATCATTTTCTTTGAACATTTACAAGACAAATAATTGTATAATTAAATGGAAATTGAAATAAATATGCAAAATGTAAAAAGAATTTTTATGTGTATGAAAAAAAAGAATATTATTTATGTGAAAATAAAAAGAGAAATAAAAAGGTATTATTTTTGGAGTATTTTCAAATTTAGGGCAAAACCCTAATTTTTAATCAAAAAGGGATATTAATCAATTAATTCATATAATATTTACTATTTACATACAAAAATAAAATAAAATATAGTATATTTATAAAAATGTCTTTTTAGTGCTAAATATTAATAAAAATATAAATATGTATATTTTTGATATTTTTACCCTAAATGTATTAATATATATATGTATATTTATATTATTTACAAGACATGTATTATATATATTAATTAACAATATTTAATATAAAAATAAAAAAGGTATTTTTTCTATAAAATATTTTCAGGAAGTAAAAATAAGATAAAAGTGTATGAAATATATTTGTACTATTTTAGTATTTTAAACAAAAAGTATACATTTATTCATTTATGTACAAACTAAAAGAAAAAATCAAATAAATACCTAA